AACTGGCTGTACAACGCTTAGCCCTGGCCAATTATAGATGTGTTAGTTCATAGAGCAAGAGGGAAATGCAAGAAAAATGTCCCCTGCCTGCAGAGCAAACCTGAAAGAAGATTGTTTCAAAGAAATAAGTTTAAAGAAAAGGTGGTGTCATCCTTTTGTTATCACACTAGTGCAGTGTGACAGGTCAGGGAATATTATACACACTCTTGTATTGGAAAATAAAGTATACTATCAAGCACACTTGTTTTCTTTTTCCAGAGTTAGAATGCAAAGTTCACAAAAACATCAGACCAATACAATTTTCTGAAAATGACATATTACACATTAGATTGATCCTAAATGCTCTTAAGAATATTTGTAGCTGGTTGTTCAAGTAAAATCAACTTGCAATTTATAAAAGTAGACACATTATAGTATAGTACTGTAATCAGTCATTTTACATAAGTACAACAAATAGTATTACAATTGTATCATTACTTCTCAAATCTAAAACTTGCCCTCTCGGGAATACTGGCACGCCAAACAAAGACAGAGCATATGTAGGCTGTGTGGGGCTACATGTCAGGTTCAGAAGTGTTTGGAGCCAAAGGGATTTATGCGAGTGGAGTGCACACTGCTGACTTTAAGTTTGGGGATTAGCAGGGTCCTTACAGTGGAGACTCAGTGAGGTATGGACTTGTGTAAACGTGGGTCTGAGAGAAGTAGGATCGATGTGCAGTGCACAGAGGCTCAGGAACACTGTCTCCAGACTGTCAGCTGCACAGGGTGAGGGTGAGGGAGAGGAGCTGCTGCTGCTGCTGCTCCTATGAACTCACTTGTGGCTCCTACACTATACATGTACATGCTCTCAGCTCATGCCATCAATTCTTATACAACCAAAGTATAATGGTAAGTTCCACTGCTGAAATAATGGGTTTCTCTATATCCACATGTGCAATGGATGCTGATTTCTTTGATAGGCAAGTTAAGTTTGCTTTATCTTATAGTATTATAGTATTAGTTAATATATTATATAGTTAAAATATAGTATTTTATATTTAGTTATTGTAATAAAAAAAAATATATATATATATAATATATATAATAGAATATATATATATATATATATATATATACACATATATACACACACACACACACACACATATATATATACCTGAAGCACTCGAAACTACCAAACACAGGCTCCAAGCCTTGGCCAGCCGCCTAAAGAGGTACACACGAGATAACGAGGCTAGATGAATAAACCAGCTGTTCGCAACACAACCAGCAAAAGTGTACGCTCAGTGGCAGGGTAATAACACCAGAGCATACCCACCAAGGCTGGAGACTGAGAGGTACTGGAAAGGCATATGGGAAAGGGAGGCATCACATAACACCGATGCACAGTGGCTGGTGGATCTGAGAGAAGACCACAGCAACCTCCCTGAACAGAATCCAGTCACCATCACAGTGGCAGACATCCAGGAAAGAGTCTCAGGTATGAAAAACTGGACCGCACTGGGCCCTGGCATGATCCATGCGTACTGGCTAAAGAAGCTCACCGCCCTCCACGAGCGCCTGGCAGCACAAATGAACCAGCTGCTAAGGGATGGGACACACCCTGAATGGTTAACTCAAGGGCGTACGATCCTGATCCTGAAGGATCCTTCAAAGGGTGCAGTCCCAGCCAATAACCTGTCTCTCCACAACATGGAAGCTCATGTCAGGCATCATTGCGGCTAAGATAAGTGGGCACATAGATCAATACATGAGCGCAGCACAGAAGGGTATCGGCAAAAACACCAGGGGATCCAAACACCAACTCCTGGTTGACCGAACAGTCGCCCTCGACTGCAGAACCCGTAAGACCAACCTGTGCACTGCCTGGATTGCTTACAAGAAAGCCTATGACTCAATGCCGCACACATGGATCACTGAGTGCTTGGAGCTGTACAATATCAACAGGACTCTAAGGGCCTTCATTGCGAACTCGATGCGGTTGTGGAAAACCACCCTTGAAGCCAGTGGGAAGCCACTTGCACAAGTGTCCATCCAATGTGGCATATACCAAGGAGACTCACTGTCCCCACTACTGTTCTGCATAGGCCTGAACCCTCTCAGCCTAAATAATCGACCGCACTGGCTATGGATACCGACTCAGAAACGGGGCCACCATCAGTCACCTCCTCTACATGGATGACATCAAGCTGTACGCTAAGAGTGACACAGACATCGTCTCACTGATCCACACCACAAGGATCTACAGTACAGACATTGGGATGTCATTCGGGCTTGAGAAATGTAGCAGGATGGTGACAAAGAGAGGGAAGGTAGTCCACACAGAGGGGGTCTCACTCCCAGAGGGAACAATAGCAGACGTTGAGGACAGTTACAAGTACCTTGGTATCCCACAAGCAAATGGCAACCTCGAAGAGGCAACAAGGAAAGCAGCTACGGCCAAATACCTGCAAAGAGTGAGGCAAGTCCTTAGAAGCCAGCTCAATGGCAAGAACAAGGTGCAGGCAATCAACAGCTACGCCCTGTCAGTGATCAGATCCCAGCAGGAATTGTAAGCTGGCCAAAGGAGGAGATACAGACCACAGATGTTAAGACACGAAAGCTCCTGACCATGCATGGAGGGTTCCATCCCAAATCCAGCACCCTGAGACTGTACGCAGGCCGGAAGGAAGGAGGCCGAGGACTAGTGAGTGTGGGAACCACTGTCCTGGATGAAACATCCAAGCTCCTTGAGTACATCAAGGACAAGGCCCCAACAGGTGCTCAGAGAATGTCTCAGACAGTGGGGTCCAGAGGAAGAGGTGCTGGAGGGACCATCATGGCAGGACAAACCCCTACATGGGGCGTACCACCGGAACATAACTGAGGTGGCTGATATCAAGAAATCCTACCAATGGCTTGAGAGGGCTGGTCTGAAGGACACACAGAGGCACTGATCCTGGCTGCTCAGGAGCAGGCCCTGGGCACTCGAGCAATAGAGGCCCAGATCTACCACACCAGACAAGACCCACGGTGTAGACTGTGCAAAGAGGCTCCTGAGACAGTCCAGCACATAACTGCAGGGTGTAAGATGCTGGCAGGGAAAGCATACACGGAGCGACATAACCAAGTGGTGGGCATAGTGTACGGAAACATCTGTGCAGAGTACAGGCTGGAAACCCCAGGATCAAGGTGGGAAACACCTCCAAAGGTTGTGGAGAATGACCGAGCCAAGATCCTGTGGGACTTCCAGATACAGACTGATAGGATGGTGATGGTGAACCAACCAGACATAGTGGTGGTGGATAAGAAACAGAGCAGAGCCGTGGTGGTTGACATCGCAATACCAAGTGATGGTAATATTAGGAAAAAGGAACACGAGAAACTAGAGAAATACCAGGGGCTCAAGGAAGAGCTGGAGAGAGCCTGGAAAGTAAAGGCATCAGTGGTGCCTGTGGTGATCAGTGCACTCGGGGCTGTAACCCCCAAACTGGAAGAGTGGCTACAAAAGATACCGGGAAAAACAACGGACATCTCAGTCCAGAAAAGTGCAGTACTGGGAACAGCAAAGATACTGCACAGAACTCTCAAGCTCCCAGGCCTCTGGTAGAGGACCCGAGCTGAATGAGGGTGAGAGAGACCTACCACCGTGGAAGGTGAGAAACACATTTTTTTTTTTTTTTTTTATTTTCTGAGACATACTTTCATTATTTGTAGTCACACTACTTCCCATCACCAGCACATAAACCTTGATTAGCTGGGACCACCGTGTCCTCCATTCAGAAATCCAACTACTATTTGTAAACTAAAGCTTAGCAACACAACATAACAAACAATTTTACCATTGAGCGAGGACAGACAGTTACAGTGGCCAGTGTTCACAGTACTACTCTGGGTGACAGCTGCTTTCTTTATTCACACATAAACACTCCACTGCATGACATTGCCAACAAAAAGACACTTTCACCAGCTTACACCTTCATTGTAACCAATATGGGACATGGGAAGACTGGCACAGCTGCAGAGCAATGTTACCCATCCACTTAATAGCTCAGCACGCAAAAGTAGGTTTCAGAATAGAATGTTTGTTTTGTCCATGTTAGGCCAGAAGTCATGCTTGTAGATGCAAACACCATCCAAAGGTGTAAGGTTAAATACCATGGCCAAACAAAGATGAGGAAGCCACTTGAGAAAAAAACACACACACATGTTAAAGCTCCTAGTTTTCTTATTATGTAATATTAAAAGACAAAATTAATTGGAAATATAAGAAAGTTCAAAGGATTGAGGTGAGGTTTTGAGGTTTGTTTTTGAGCAAGGAAATTGTGCATTCAGTTCCTATGAATATGATCAACTACTGATCATATTGCTGAACTTGACTTGAAAATAATGGATAATTCTTGAATATAATCTTTGGATCTTGACAAGACAGGGTCCACACGTTTAAAAAGAATTACAAAAAGAGATATTTATTAAAAACAGGATGCAGACAAAGTTGTGGCCACATGGTGGAAACAAGAGAAGACAGAAATGAAATCTCCAGCAGCCAGCTTTTAAAGGTGGTGGGCCCGCCCACAACCAGGTGCAGCTAATGGTCAGCCCCTCCCACTCTCTGGAACCTGGAGGGGAGGGAGAGAGAGCCCACATCAACAGACACTTACAAACACACACACACGCACACATGCACCCACAAAGCCCAGGCTGGGGCTGTCAGTAGCACAGCATGTCTTTTTTTCTTTTTTCTCAGGGGTTACCATATTGATCCAAAAGCACGGTGGTGCTGTAATTTTACACACCATGATCTCCTTTGTGTCACTACCTCTCCACAAACTGTGACTGGAGTTGGAAATATGACAGTATATAATGCTATATAGTATATTTCAACCAGCTATGAACAGCAACTACACAACACTGACCCTTCCTATGATCAGTGTATACTCTACCTACAGTAAGAAGGTAATACAATATATTGTATTAAACAATTATGGTAATATAATCAGAAAAAATGAATTAAACTTAGGTTGATCAAGTTCACTTTATTAATTTTAATCAATGGTAGACACAAAATATTACTGTGTATATGACAACATTTGAAAAACTCTCTCATAAAAGTATCAATTTTACATACTGTGTACTGTGCCCGCTGTAGCACAGAAATAACTATTGAGGCAATCAAAGCAGGTACACATTCAGTAAAGTTCTCCTCCATGATTCCACATTTTTGGACACCGTTAAGAGACAAAATGAGCCAAATGCTCATTACATGCACACACACGCACACCCACACAGACCACACACGTGCAGGCAGTGTAGAAAATGACACACAGCTATTGTGCTAACTAAGACAGTAGGGATGTCAGAGGTAACGAACAGATCCTCAGGGTTAACAAGTGAATTAACTGACAGCTTGTCTGATGCGTCTGTCAGGAGCACCAGTCACCAGAACTGCAGCGTATGTGAGGCAGGATCTGTACACTTGTATTGGCAATACTGCACTCACATTGCTCAAAAGTAGTAAATACTGTAAGCCAAGGTTATTCTAGGGGAGTTTCCAACCGGGATGCTTCTTTGTTAAATGTTTTATCTTTTAGAATGTCCATGCGCATCCTGCCCATAAAGATCGGACAATGAATGCAGTACAATGTCAGGATGTCAATATGAGCATGGACATGCTCTGTGTTGGGACACAAGGAGAATCAGAGGTAAGGCCATACTGAGGTAAACCCAATGAAGGAAATCTAATCACCACAGAAATGACTCAAAGTGTGTATTAGATAAGTGCCCCAGTAATGATTGTCCCACATAGATATCTGTAACAGAATCCAATAGATAACCAATTATAATAATATTCTTGTATTAGCACAACAAAGAGTTTACCTCATCATATTGCACACATACATTAAGACATATGGTACTCATCCTCTGTTCCTGATCAGCACAGTTCTACATCTATTAATCTCATTATGAGGCAATGGCTATTTCTCATTTTTATTGCTATAGTCAGAAAAAAAGAGCTAATGCAGTGGAAAACACGGAAATACATCCTTCATCAAAATCAGTGTAGATACAGAATAGTGATCTGTCAAATGCTCATGTGATTAAATACAGATTTTAAAATTATAATTCATCTTAAAGACATTTACATTTTATACATGCAAACAGAGAGTTACGGATCAACCGTTTGATGGGCTGATGCAGCCTATCACATGTACAAGGTAGAAATGTGTCTTGTCTCACAAAACACAAGGTAAGATCAGGACTCAGAGCTACAAATGTTCAGTTAAAAGTACTTACAGCACTGATAACATGACAGTATTTATGATTTTTCATGTGAAATTATACTTATTATATATGTTATTAGTTCACTTTCTTCTTATATTTCATATGGCCCCATTCAGTATTTGTACCTATACAACATTTACCAAAATTAAATGAATAAACTTTGAAAGGTTCAGTATTTTCACATTTTGTAAGTGAAAATATGTACATACTGTATTGCACAGGGCTTTTTCAGTTTGTATCAAATTAACACTACGAAATGAATGAGTGCTGAGCCAGATGCATACATTTTTTTAATGGCAGTGAAGCCCTACTGATTAGGAAAAGTTGATAACTGATGTCGAGGAAAGATACAGGAAATCCACCTCCAGAAATACTATTCTGGGCAAAGTTCTCCTTGTGGCTATAGCTTTAATTGCTACAGTTCAGTGTTTGGATAGTTGCTGATCATTATAGGGACATTACTCCTCTCTCACCATATGGCCATATAACTCTGCACATAGTGCTTAATATAAAAAGAATCGCTTTCTTCAGGGCTCACAGGTCTTTTTGAAACTAATAATTGACAGCCTTCAAGCCTTCAAGCCTTCAAGGGGTCATATCTCAAATGTGTATAAGATTTAGCACAGGTTGGATGGGTGATCTGGTTATCTACACATTTTAAGAAGTCCCAGTAAAATATACAAAAAATACCCTTTGACATGGCCCAATTTACAACTTAGTTGTAACACAAAAATGGCACCATAACTCTTTCTACAAAAGTCACAAGGTAAGTGATAAAATGAAATAGAATAAACAAGGTGTTCAACAGTCAAATAGCTAAGGCTAAATTAAACCTTGGCTCCAGACTTAGATTATAAGAGGTAGCTGATCGTCAGTGACCTCAAGTTACAAATTACTCTTAATAACTGTAATTTTACTGTGCCTTTGAGGTCCTAACTAATAAGCTCTTCTTCGGCCACTTCATATTTGAGTAGTATGAATGTGAAACATGTTCACATGACAGGTTCGTCTCCTATCTATCGTGCTTCCATCACACAGGCACAAGCACAATTCATTGAAAGAATGTGGTGAATTTCCTGTTAGCTCTTGGGGGATATGGTTTGTTTTTCCTGTTGCTGGGAGCCAATTTATTTATTTTTTTTTCTCTTGCCCTCTTTAACTTCCTGCTTTGATGGCGGGTTTACAGAGGGACTGTGGAGGTGAGCGCCAGAAGCCATTGATTAGACTTGTGTTATCCATCACTCAGACCCCCGACCTCCACAAACTCCAAATCTTTGTATTTGTATCGAAGACACAGGTCCTGTTTTACATCTACTATTTAAATGAGGGCCAAATGGAGACAGCTTTTGAAAGCCTGATTGTAGACAACTCAAAGCAGCAACCCTGGCTAAAAGAGAGATGTGCCAGCGGCTGTGGACCTGCTGTCTCATGCCATGCTGCTGGTGGGGGTGCTTTGGGTACTTCCAATACTTGCATTAGCACTGCTGTTCTCTGATGGGGAAGGGTTAGTGGAAACAGGTTGTCGTTTTGTACTGGAACAAGGACATCCTGGAAGACAAACACGTTGTGACGGAGATGAGTATTTTGAACATTAAAGGAAATGAAAACTATGCAGTACTTAAACCTTACCAACTGTTGAACTCATGTCTAATCCAGTTGGGTATCCTGAAAATAAAGAATGTTGTTGAATGCAAATAAAACCCAATTTAAAACATGTATGATGAGAATATACCTGTTTTGATTTTGATAAACCAGAGGGCTCCAATAAGTAGCACTCCAATCAAAAAACCCCCAAATGCAATGCCCAGAACACCAGGAAGGCCAAAGTCAAAGCATTCAGTATCTGAAATAAAACATAATGATTTTTATAATTTACAAAACTGAGTGATAAATCAATGACCATTCATGAAAGTTAAAGTTAGGGGACATTTAGTATGAAGAAACAGTATATAAGACAAATGAAGCTAACATGAAAATCTATCTCAGGTACAGCACTGAAACAGGGACATCTAGTGGTCATTTACCCAAACTACGTCTCACTGTAGTGAGGCAAACTAATCACAACTGGTACTATCAATGAAGAAGGCATTGTCCTTTTGACAGAAATATAACAAAGAGAAGAAGGCCATCTTGTGATACTTTATGTGATTGTCTAACAAGGTCTTGGAAATTACACCTGAATAAACAGGATGAGGTGATGAGATCCTTCAGCAAAAAACAACCAAACAAGAAGAAGTTTAGCATTCAACACTCAGATTTATACAGTCAAGTGTGAAAGATGAAACTGGTACTTGACTTCAGTTATTATTATCTGATATTATATTATATCTGATATTATATTCAAATATTAATAATAACTGTATTCAATTTGTGCACTGAAATAAGGTTTACCTTTGGGTTGTACAACATATTGCATTATGCATATGTAAACACATTACCCACAATATCACCAGGAAACCCAATATATTGCATTTCTAAGGTTTTCAATCTGTCAAACATTTACAGACTTTTACAATAAATACACTTTATTATATTATGTAATGTCTTATAATTTAACATTGATGTATAAACTAAAAACCTTAAGTATATAACAATATTAAATGCTGTTTGCTGGTGTTTGTTTATTTCCACCCAAAATAACAATAATTAAGTATGAATGACTTCTTTTTATAAATGAAATCTTTAAAAGAGGAACAAAAGATATTAAGCAACAAATAAAATGTATAATGAGCTTTGAAGTCTGACAAAATCTGTGTACACCACTTCTTCATCATCTAAAGAGCCTCACTTTGAAGCAAGATATATTTTATATTTGCCATGGCAGTAGTGAAGGCTTAGACAATGGCGTGAGTCCTGATGCCTGTATTTGGACAGCAGCACAGTCAGAAGCTCTCAGAAACACAAAGGACCTGGCTCTGCTCCCCTGAGAGCCATTACGTCTGATTGTGGCCACAAGGTCAGGCTGCAGACCTTCCTAACGGACACGGCCCTGCTCAGACCCCTCACCAGCTCCAGCGCACATCCTGACTGCACTGCTATGACAACCGCCTGTGCACGGTGCACCAAGCACTGCAGGCAACAACACCAAGAAGAATTATAGCAACAATATACTGACCGAGCTGCAGACTAACAATTAGGTCCTGGAGGCAAAAGGGCTAATTTGAAAGTTTTACTTTTCAGTGAGTTCAGCAAGTTTATTAAGCATGCACTTTCGCTGTCTACCAAGTTAGAATGCTCCAAACACTTTCTATTTAAAATTTTAAGTAGTTCTACTGCACTGTTACTTCTTAGCTTTTCCTTACAAGTGATATACTGCAATAACAATGGATAAGAGAAATTGCATTGCTGCAATGTACAAAAAGGGAGAAAAAAAGAGTATATATATATATGTATAGTGAAAATGCAGGCTAGACTCACTTTGTGGTTGTAGACATGGCTGGGTAACCTCCAGGTAGCGCTTTACTCGCCCCCCATCGCCACATTTCTAGACAAAACAAAAATGTTTTAATGAGTCATCCCAGCTAACATTCCTTATAATTACCACGTCATATAAATACGTATGCTTACCTCACTATAACAAATTTTGACAGAGCACTCCAGGTCCCAAGTGGTAGATGTGAGTTCTTGAAGCTGATCCAAAGAGAAGCTGAGCCTGGTGCTGTTAGCACAAGAGCTACTGGAGCAAGTTTCGGTCATGAAAGGCAGCTCCTTCACAACAGGACATGAGCCTTTGGAGCGCAGAAAGCACTGCATCACCTTTATGGTCAGGACAATGTCCCCCAAGGTGCGCCCTGTAATCTACAAGACACACAGAGAAGATGGAGGGGTCAAATCTATGGCAGGAGTCATGAGAGAAGACACTTCAAAAAAGTATCAAAGGCATACCGTAACATAATTATAATGGAACAAATACATTAACTGCAAAATATTGCATTCATTCTCTCACAAATATGAAAGGGGGACCATAGTTTTTATGTTGTCAGAACCACAAGAAGTGTTTTTTGAATATTAGCACGACAGGAGATTCATGAAAGTACTCGTATGTAAGAATATGATAACATATTATTATAGTAGGGGACAGAGAGACTCTGATGAAATAAGACTTAAGACTTAAGACTATAAATCGGCATGGCATCATTAGTAGGATACCTCTGCGTAGATTCTCCTATTGCTCTGTACTTTGGCATTAGGATCCAAAGGAGAGCGGAAATCAGGTGAGTTGTACAACTGCATAGTCAGAGGCATCAGATGAGGTTCATTGGTTGTAACAGTGGGAGCAGTTTTCAGCACTGTTTCTGAAACTAAGAGCAAATGATAAAAACAGTATTTGTCAATATAAAAATGTACATTACTTATTATTTACATTAGAAAAATTATGTTAATTGCACCTGTATTGATAGCTCTCTTTTGTAACCTCAGTGCAATCATAGAGCCCTCCGATATGATTTCAGTGTAGCTGGTGAAACTTGTAGTTTTAAAATGCTCTAGAGCCTTTCTTTGAACTATTTCTGCAACGTCACTGTTCAGGGAAACCAAAGGAGGAATTTGGTGCCGTGCCATGTTTTGAAGAATAATATCATTATTGGACTGTAAAAATAGGAATATATCATTTATTTAGTTTCCAAGATAAATTGGTATAAATGAGAGTTTGGTTCGCTTACAGAAAATTTGGTGTGTTGCAAGTTCACAATTGTCCAAGTTGTTCCCTGGGGACCTCTCAAGAATAAGCTGGTCTTCTCTATGTCCATGTGAAGTGACACATTTCTACCACAACAGAAACAGACAATAAATGTTAAAAATTTTAAAAAAGATAAGGTGCACAGTACCGTTTGTATACCGAATAATGGCGCTTTCGGGAATATTAATGATATGAAGCTCTTCATTGCTGTTCGGAGGCATTGGGAAGCAGGATTTAAACGGTACAGTTTCACTGTCAATTGTCATAAAGTATTTCTCAGATGCGTCTTCATTTCCAAGAATGCATTCCCCAGAGCCAGCCTTGGTTCCTAAAAATCATACAGAGTAGATCAACAATATTATATTTACAGGTAACAACATAACACCCAGAGCTGACTGCATGTAATTTGAACAAAAATGCCACATAACGACTAATAATAAAGGTCTACCATGTAAGTTCCATCAGGACATTCAACAAAACCAAAACAACAAAATGTCCCTTTACTCACCTGTTCCCGCTAGATGAACTTCTTTCAGGTTCTTAATTGTTGTGAATGATGTAACGCCTCCAAATCTCTGTGTGGCCCACTTGATCAGCTCTTCCTCATCAGAGGGCATGGCTTCCTTGTAAATGTTGTTACGATGTCCGTAAAAATGAACTGATGAGTTTGTGCTTACCTAGACACACAGAAAAACACACTGTATTAACATCACAGCAGAACCACAGTAAAGCCACAGTATCAAATACTGAATGAAATGCAATTCAGATGTTTTTTTTATGACTCAGTGAAATTCATATTAGAGCATGTGCAGGCAGCAATTTTGTCGGACATTAGTTTTACTTTGAAATTACTTATCGGTTACTTTGTCATTGTTTAATAGAAATGTTTATTATGGTTAACTGTCCACTAGTACAGTTGCACAAGCCGGTTGGAGCCAAGGTCCTTCCTTTACTTCCTGAGTGGGGCCAGGAAATGGGCCCTTTTTTAGCTTTTGTGCGTCATCACAATCGGCTGGAATCTGGCTCCATACAAGGTATAAATATATACATCATTGCAACGACTAGACACTGCTGTTTCCTCGTCTGGCCCACTGAGAAATAATGGAATTTACACTGCATGAAGTACACAAGAGAACACAATAATCTGGGCATTAAGATCTTAAGATAAAGTTAAAACATATTAGTAGAAATTATGTATTAAATAGTGTACACTAAAATACTGAATTAGACATGAAACAAATATTTGAATGCATTACATAGAAATAAGTATATTATGAATAACTATTGAATTTGAATATACAAAGTATATGAAAATTAATGTTTAGTATATAGATTACACCAGGGGCAATCTGTTTGAGCACTATAAAAACAAACCAGTGGACAGACAAAACTCCAGGGGCTGAAATAAATAAACAAAACAATATAACCCAATAAGAAACTAAGTTCACATAGACTTGAAGTGTAACAGACAAACTGTGAAAAGAATACGACATTTAGGTAACAGAAGTGCTGATTTAGATAATATTTATTTCCAAATACTTGTGAGGTCAAAAGTTTACAAGCGCTCCACTGGATCTTAAAAAAGTCCCAAGTTTACGGAAGTTGACGTAATGACTTCCCTGTTCAGAAGCAAAGCACTAAAAACTAAGCAGCTCCTATACTGCCAACTGCCACAGCTGAATGTTTGGGTCTGTTTTAAATGCTCACATGTTTATGTCTAAGATTGGCAAGCATTTGCATGAATAGCTTTGTATTACACAGAGCACAAGAATAATAGTGAAAATAAAGATAATGCTTGGGGATCTTTCAGCATGAATCTAGTAACAGAAAAGAAAAGTAAGAAAACAAATAGACTAGGATAAATAAACTTGAACAAAAAGGGTAGATTGCAAACAGAAAGCACAAATATATATATCCACTTTTTTGTATTTAGGTTTAAGGATGACAAAACAAGTACCCAAGCTATATCCATTTATTTTCTGTAGTTGTTGGAGGACAGTATTTTTACATTTGCAATGTATTCATTAAACAATGAATAAAAACACAGGAAAATTGAGATGAACAAATATAAATATGAACTGCAATATTTCATCTAGTTTTCTAAAGGAAAGAAAAAAAAAAGATGTTGTTGCCAGCCAAGGCTTATAAAAGCTGGGACTATGACAGTGAGCCAAGCTGTCAGGCCACTGACGTGTTTTCTCCGACACAAAACAGATGCTGTTTCTCTTACTGTGCAATCTGCACTAAAGTACTATTATCCCCTAGCGATGGTGCTCATCCCACAAAAACATCCTGCAGTCACAGCCAGAGCTGGCCAGACCCCCCAGTCACATAGGAACAGGATACGGCATCAGTAAGCTGTCAGCAGACCACTAACCACTGACACTTGTCGTCAGCATTATTACTGCAGCGTGACTAAAATCTGCAGACATCAAGTACACAAAGAGCCAAAAGCAATAAAACAGACACAATGTGTCCAAAGAATTGAGGATAGTTTGTTAAGTTATGGCAACATTTCAAGAACATGGCTTCTTTTAAAGCAAAGCTTTTCATCGTTATCTGACAGTGATGTCTGTGGGAGTTATAGAGAAAGATGTTTATTTTAAACACTAAAAAGTTTGTAAGAAGAAAAATGTGTTCATGAAACCATTTAAAAAGTGGCAGAAGTAACAGTTAAAAAAGTACTCTGTCCACTATTCATTTCAACTAAATATCAAAACACAATGGTAGTGGCACAGTGGCTGAGTGACTAGCACTCTGGCCTCAAAGCAAGAATGTCCCAGGTAGTTTTTCTCCATGTCAAGGTATGTTTCCTCCATCAACCCAAAACATGCACAATTGATTAAATCCACCACTTAAGGAAGTCCTGACCAAGCCTAACTCAAGGTCTGGGGATGGATCCCCGGCCCAATACTGTGGCACCCTCTACTCCTGACAAGTTACCCCAGCGGCATTACAGGATGGCTCAAATGCCGAGGATAAATATCTACCTTTATATATGGAATTCATTTTACATCAGCTCTCATCAGTCTGTAATTTTTCTAGGTTTCCTTCAGTTTTGCTTTGCATGAATCATAAAGCAGTACAGAGCAGTAGGTAAAGAATATCAGTGTGCTGTTTGAATAGCACAGACAGATTCACAGCTGTTTGAGGCTGGCTGTAGTCAAACAGCTGGCACCACACAAGAGCACAGCACATCTGCTGACAATGGAAATCATACATACAGTCATACTTCTAGTTACAGACCAGGTTCTGGGAATAACAAATACAAATCCCATCTTTCTTTGTGTGTTGAGGAAGTGTAATGTCCTGAAGAGTATAATGAATAAACATGATGATGGCTTTTCTCACATTTTAAGTGAAGAGAATACTGGATGCAATCACTCGAGTAATCAGTACTTACATAAATGTTGACATCTTTGTTGGGGCTATATGCACCATATGCGGTGTCTGCTGATGTCACGATAAGATTCATAGGTCTTGAACTGGTTAGATTCACATTGAACATCTTGGCATCCTGTCAAGGAACAATGAGGCATGTTACAATTCAAAACAAACTGGGAATTTATAGATTTGTGTTGATCTTTGATGTGGTAATGTACAATACACATATATACATGTATTCATTCCCATAATGACGCAGAACATTAAGCATTTTCACACCTAACACCAAGAATTAAGTCCCTATAATCCCCCAGTCTAGTCCCCCTTGCATGTGTTTACACAGTAAAGTGGCTGAAAGTGAGTATAAAATTAGCATCTGTACAGTGCGGAACATTTAAATATTTTCAACAGGGGTAGGAAAACAAAAAAAATTTGAAGTATTTTATAAAACTGATGCACAAAATAACTCAAACAGAATTGCATTAATAATTAAATTCAACAGAATTATGATTACTTTCTAATTAAGACTGCTATTTTTGGAGCTACAGCGTCAGTAAATTCTCTTGTGGGTCAATACAGTATCTAACTCAGAATAAACAGAAAATATTTCCCAACAAAGGCAGTGCTGCACATGTGTTTATGTCTCTAAAAAGATTCCTGGGCTGACTGGAAAGTACCTCCCCAGAGCAGGAGCTAAAAAAGATCCTCAACTGTGGCCCCAAGTCCTACGCATCAAATGCAAATTTGGAACTAGAAATATATAGCTAAAAAGGGTTCCTACAGTGTGAAAACCTCTACTAAGTTCTTTCAAGTATGTGCCCCAGCATTCCCAAGGGCAGAGGTATGTTTTCTTAGTAATTCCAACTAAGCCATTCAATCTGAAGTTGGCATCATCCCTCCCTAAACCTGCATCATTTCCCAAAGCCCACATAGCTTGTCTTCAAAGTCTGTTCGTCCAAAAGCACTTCTTCCTGATCCAAGGCAAGTATCCTGCCTCAAAAAACAGCTCTTGGTAATGAGTTTCATGTCATTTAAATTGACAAAGTTCCTGAAAGTGTAATTTAAAAAAAAAAAAAAATTAATGGGAGTAGCACAATGCGGTGTGCAAATTATGATCAGATATGCGTTGTAACTGTAACATAAGCTGCATAATTGTTTTTGAGACAGGAAGTGCAGTCTGCTATTGCGACTACGTCTTCCCAGAAGTCCTGCTCTGTTCTACCTGGAATGTCCGACTGAATAATGAATGGCATTTCCCCTTTGAGCTCATTGTGCCTGTTTTAGGTCCAGTATGTTTTCCTTAACTACTTCTAATGAGCCTTATTGTCCTAGTGTCGTGTGCTCCTCCCGTCATTCCTTTGTAGCTTCAATTCTCTCTGTTCAACCCTGGATCACCATTGACCCTGATCACTCACCTTTTCTACTTTTGTCCCTGTGCTTTCAAGATACAATTGTTCCCCTCATCAAACTCTTTTCTCCAGTGCATTTCTGAAGGGCCTGTGCTGGTGTAGTTTCCAGTTATTCTTTTGCTTCTCTCCTTTAGCTTGAATTGGCTCCGCTGGTATCGTCTCGGCACTAAGCCAAAACCTTGAGTATTCCAGCCAGTGTGTGACATCAATGGACCCTGCACCAAGTGGCCCCTCCCTTTGAATTTCTCTGGCTTGTACCATAGAGACCAAGCACAGAGTTTTAACTGTTCTAGGCAATCCGTAAATCAGCTTGAAAAAACAAAGGGATGAGGAGGAAGGTGATAAGAAAAAAAAAATACTGGACAAAAGGAAGCAAGAAGACAGCAGACAAGTAGGCTGATTTCAAACATTGAACAGTCTGACAGTAGATGAAGATGAGCCCCTTCCTCTGTCCTAACAAGAAAAGTCTGTTCCTAAACAGGCCATCAAGAGCAGATAAGGAATGTGTATAAAGAGAAGTCCATTATAAAAAGAGGATAAGCTAATACTGTACAATGTCCAGGCCTAGACATGTACGACCTACTTTATATTTTAAAACATCACCTTGCTATTATGCACTATAGATATGGTGTTCCATAATTCTAAGTACAAGTCTTACAGATACTCCCACCTTTCTGTCACGTAGCACATACTGTACCTATGTAATGTTGATGTTAGTGATGTACGCTTCCTCATACTATTAACCGCAGAGTAACATTATGTGCTGACAGATGGGTATTCTGCAAAAAGTATAAATGGTCAACTAAACAAATTAAGAACAGTAGAAAGGAAAGTTGAGGTTAAATGAATGTAAACAATATACTAGCCAACAAGAAAAATGCATGACCTCTGTTTGTTGCACAAGCTACACTGACAGTGAAAAAACAATAAAAAATGGGGTAGTTTTATGACAAGTACAGCCTGTCCAAGCAATCATCTAAAATAATGTAATTTGTAAGGCACTAACAGCCCCTGTGCCTGTTATGTTTCATAGTTTTATCATAATAAGATAAATAAGAATTGACACAAGCATTTGTCTAAAGGTCTCTGTTTGCGTAGTTGATGATTAGATGACCATTGACCTTTAGAAACATCTGTTTCTTTTGGGAATAATTATTTGTTGTTTAAATGTGCATTCCAAGTAATTTATGAACAGTTGTTTGGTCTCAGTGTCACTGCTATATCTTTGACAAATTAGATGCAACACATCTGTTATTTCTCAAATGTTGTTATCTATGTCTTAGAGCATCATTGCAGAAAACACACAACTTAACAAAAATATCTGTTCACGGAGTTCCGGTTGTATTGAGAAATCTTTTTGGCAAACAGGTCAATAAAAAGGATCATTCATAAGAAGATGATGACATATTCCTGACAGGGCACTGGGTTTGTTGTCAGTTTGACAAATGGACAAAGCTGACTATGTAACATTTTAATGATGACTTCTGACTTTTGTTATTGGCCACATTGTGATTTTGATCACCAGATCTAATATGTGTGTCCACTAGTTCAGGATGGACTGAACTGGAATCACAGGGTACCTCACAGTGCAAAAGGATGAGCAATACTTGCTACACACAATAGAGGCTCACAATATGGTAATATCACAATTTTGCTAACATTTCCAATAATTAAACACACCTCAAGTAAAAATAATAAATTAAGATGACATGAACTAATCCAAACCTACCGACTGAGTGAAGATTAAGTTGATAATATGAACTTCTCTGCTGTCCTTGCTGATGAAGCTTGTCCAGCATCCAATCTGCATCTCCTTCACAAAGATCCATGGATTAACATTATCCGTTGGGACACATGTCTGACTGGAGCCTGCAACAAAACAAATGGTTTATGTCAGCACTTTAAAACTGACCACAATGTTTACAAGTGTGTCAAATTGAGTATGACTGAACTCAAAACAGAAAGCTAAATAGTTATTAGACATATGGCTTCTATATTACACACTCTGACACTGTATATGTTTGTTATTAATCATTTAGAATGCTCTGCCTTGGTGCTGTTTGATGGGAGGGTAGAAGCACATTGTTTAAAAGGGGTTCGGCCAGTTCACGTTTATCAGCTGTGTCAGAACGTAGGGCTGAAGTCATTCATCACTAGTGTTGGCTGTGCTCTGTGTATGAACGTGCTGTTTAACCTGGAGATGCCTCTCTCAGGGGGCTGAATTAATCAAGTCATGGTAACTCATGTGTGGAGTAATGAAGGGGGGTTGACCCGATCTACCTACCACTGTGTGATGTGGTATTAGACTAGTGTTAGGCTAGTGACTAATAGTGTAATGTGCATGTGCATATTACATTTAGCATGTAGTTTAGACCTCAGGGATAATGGTGCAACATAATGTAAGTAAATGTAAGGCAAACTGCAAAATGTAACACGCTTTGGAAATCAGTCAGCGCTGATTGTTCTGTAGCCTTGGACATTTGATTTTATACTAGGCAAATAAAAGAAACAATCATGTAACCATGACCATAACACACTGTTCATATTGATTTTTTTTTTTTTTTTTTTGAAAGCCTTGTGATCATGTAGAAATGAAATAAATGACAGAGATACAGGGGTGACATTGTGTCATTAAGAGCAAAAGTGATAGAAGGTGCAGTGTCACACCTCAAAAAAAGAGGTGTTTTTGAGAACATCACAAGTGTTTTTCTGCACTAGCAATGACTTTATGTGGAAACATTACAATTCTGTACAAGCTGAAAAAAGAGGAACAGGATATAAAATGTAAAACCTATAAAAAGTTGACAAGAGTTTATCACAATCAGAAGGCTTTACTGGCATTTTTGAACAAAATTCATGAATTAGGAAAAAAGCTTCAATGCAACATAAAGTACTAACTGTAAAAAACTGTAAAATATAAAATAAGCCATGCATAAAATTAATGCTGTCTAAATACACATTTATACAAAATATAGAGTATGGACCAAGTTATAATACAGAATTTTCAGTGCAAATAGATGAAATATTGTGGACAAGAGTTATTTAAAATGAATTTAAAAACAGAAGAAACTGTTCTTATGGCAAAAGGTTCTGATCCAAATGGACCATAGCCTTGTGCCCAAGGGGAGTGGCTCAAACAGTCTGGGTCCAGGTAAGAAGGGTCAGAACCAAAATGCTCGACCCTGAGTCCTAGAGACGTACAGGTCCTGGAGACCAGGGAGGCTGCAGTCATGTTCTCAGTGGAGCCCATAATGTACTAAGGTATCTGTCCCACATGGCCATGGAGGAGGTGAGGAAGGATCCAATGGTAGTAGAACTGCAACATCATCTGGGCTGGCAGCTTGGTTGCCACAGGAAGCACATCCTTCTCTGACCCCACAGTGGTGATGGGGATGTAAAAAAAAAAGTCTATAGTGGATGTCAAACTTTATATCACTGCGCTGGTGTTTTAAATATCATACTAGACAGATCAACACTGCAGTTTAGCTGCCATCTCTCTGTAGTTACAACATTTATATTAGGTATTCATCAAATAAACAAATTCACAGTAGCAACACCTAAATTTTGGTCACAGTTTAGAAACTTGCTAATATATTTGGTGGATTTAGTTTCTTGGAAATGAAGATGGAATGTAATCTTTGCTCCTTTTCCATCTGTCTTATTTTGTCTCAACTTGCAGGTCAAGGCTGGTTTCCTGTTATTCTGGCCTCAGTTAATGTCTGTTGCTCAGTATCCACATCCATTAAGTTATTTGGCTTGTGTTGGGCTGTGACAGAGTCAACGGCCCATGACTGTCCCCTCACAAGTCCTGTATAAATCACTGGACTATGTGCTTGTGTGTTGGACTTTCAAGTCTCTTTTTATGAGTCACTATAGGGTATGAAGAGCATTCATTTAAGCCTCTTGACCCCGGAAATGCCAGCAGCCTCGCTAAACGGTTTGCTAGTAAATGAGGTATAGAAGAATCATTCCATTCCCTGTCTTCTTTATCTACTTATATCAGTCCCCTCCATTTCCCATTCCATGAGAAGACATGTTTATGCTTGCTGGTTGTTTCCATCTGTCTGATAGCAGGAGAGTGTCGCCAGATATTGTTAGAGGACAACTGGTTTGTTGTTAAAAGCCATTCCACTGGTGATGAAATGTACAGTAAGATGTGCTCAATGTACTGGTTCACATTTAACAGTAAAAGGTAGGGGTGGGTAGCATGGGGATAGTGGCAAAGTAAGCTAACAGTCATTTATAGTGGCAAGTTCAAAATAACTGAGCATACAAAATGATCATGTATGCACTGATCAATGGTAAATAATGACATTTGTAGGCATCTACAGTACTATGTAAATACAAAGTACTTTTCAATAGCCTTTTTCATCTTTTTTAAGACTTAGACTCACAGGGTACAGCATGTGACACACAATACTATTTGAACAAATTATTTAAGACATACTTTCAGCTATACTGAATATCTCAGCTGTCATGAATTTAATTTCTATGGATGTAATAAAATGAAAAAGCAAATAATTGATCAATTTGCAGAAGGAATAAAAGACTAGAGTAGCAATTGATTAGATAACACGCAGGCAGTTACCTCTTCAGTCACCTTGAGTGATAAAGAATTATACAGACATACAGATATACTTATATTACCACATGTAAATGCTATTATGCAAAACTACAATTGAACTTGGTCAGTAAGAGTACTTTGGAGTACACTGTGAAACAGTCACTGAACCTATGGATGAAACACATAAGCTACAAGTTTAAAAGCAAGCACACATATACTGTAACTATACTCTTACCAGCAAAAGATAAACTAAACATATTTCGGATTGTTCACAAGCATCTCAACCTTTGACCCAAAACACTGAAACTCATTCATCCGGTTTTCTGTTTTCAGAAAACTTCCTAGAGGCATTTGTAAGATGTGACCTTCTGAGGGCAAGTTTAAAAGTGTGGAGCGATAGACGTGATGGCCTGAAAACATAATGCACTGGTTCAACTTCAGTCTGGAGCATTACACTGCATTTCAAACACATGACGGTAAAAATACAAAGGAAAAGTCTTGACAGCACATCAAGAACAACTGTCTGCTCTATTCCCCGAGGTCTAGGGGTAAACAGTTTGTGTTCAGAGTTGGACTACAGAGTCCTGTTGGCCAATGGGGAGGAGGGGTCAGCTGCCCTATCAGAGAGAGAGAGACAGGAGAGAAAGGAGAACTTCAAGGCTGGCTCAAGTCTCACTAAACTCTCCATACACACACGCACATTTATACACACACCTATTGTCCGGCAGTTTCCGCAGCTGCAGATTGAGGCCTGACCATCCACAGGAAGGTAAACAAGCTCTTATCAGTACTCTGCAGGGGCCTGCACTGTCCCCTGGCCTCTCACCCCACTACCATACCACACATTACACACACAAAAACGCTTGACCATCACAACTTCCCCAAACTACAGTCCTGAATTTATGTCTGAGAATACTGATTGACCTTATCAGTGCGGAGGTTTGGAATAGGCTATGTGGTTGTGCAGTCTGTGGGAGGAACTGAGGCTGTGATAGGCAGTCTGGAGACAGGCTGTCTTTACATGAGCTCTGTTTACACCTAGGGGAGCCATTCGTCCGTCGCCGCATCTTTGTCGGAAGTCAGGAAAGACCACCAGAACAACAGTGGCACATGGAAGGTCTGTGGTTCACTTCCCCTTCGCTCTGCAGCATTTTAGACTTGGCAAGTTTCAGAGTGAAGGCATTTAGAAAAAGCTGACAATACTAATGCAATGTTCTGCTATGTTATAATCCATTTCTTTTTAACAGGTGATTGTAAAGTACATTCTATTGTCACCAGAAAGTTGGTCCTCTATGCATTTGAACCAGACTCTAAAGGGAAATCGACCTTTTGTATATATTTTGATGGGGAAACAGGCTAACACCAAACAAAAAACCAAACGCATCTTAACTTGCGGTTCAAATTTGGAAACACAGAGCTGCCAAGCAAAAATGCTTGTTCACAGCATTGTCATTGTGCTACCAAATTCAACATTTCTATGCTAGTTAAGTAATGTGATATGTTATGGTTACTTACTAGACATACAAACCCTAGCACCTTTCCTCACATCATTAGCCCCTGCAGCAAAGACCCTGCAAAGCTAGATCAGCCTGAAAACATGATTAGTCATTCAAGTGTTAATTGGGAGAATGACAGGCTTGTTTTTGCTAAACTTCATGCTAAGTGTGTGCAACTAAGGCAAAAAGAAATGCTGGAGATTCATTACACAGTGACTGCTCACAATCATTTAAGATTGATGTAGCTTTACACAGCATATGCTTGGTAACAGATAAGCCATTTTTTCCTAACAACATTTTTGCCAGTAAACATAGATGGTTTCCTGTAAGAACATCTCAGCAGTGTTCTGCATGTTCACACCATTCATGAACTAGTTCAAAGTTCAGTTCACATTTGTTCAAAGTGAATAGTTCACGTTCATAGTTCACAATTTTAATTTTGAACTAGTTCAAAGTTCAGTTCATTTTATATTTAGATGAGATCTGTAAATGAAAGACTGCATTTATTTTTCAAACTGACTTCTAGTTTACAACAACTTTACAAGATCCACTGTTGGACAAGTGACTTTAAAACTGTGATGTGTTATTTATGACTTGTTACTGTCATTTGAAAGTCATTTGTTACATTACAATATTACTGTTTAAAATGTAAAACATTACACGACTATTACAGCACTTTTGAGTTACTCTCACGAAAAGAACTGTGAAGATGCTGAACTTTTGTGCTGTATATGGACTAAACCAGGACTAAACCAGGACTGAACCAGGACTAAACCAGGACTAAACCAGGACTGAACCAGATCTAAACC